GCCCTCCACGCAACACGAGGCCGTGTCCTCCCCGCGCGCCCCCTCCCCCATGCTGTCAGCCGCCATCCCGCATCTCCCCGCCCCGCACTCCCCGCCGTCCGACATCACCACCTCCACGGCCGGCGCACGCACCTCCCCCCCGGCCCCGCCGGCGAGGCACACCGCCAAGCGACACAAGGCCCGCCACTCCTCCGCCAGGCAACCCTCCCCGTCTCACTCCTCCCGCAGAGTCCTCAAGAGACCCTTCGAGGCCGCCTCGCCGTCCACAGAGAGGAACGACTCCGCTGCCCGCCAGCCGCATCATCACCACCCCTGGAGTGAGAAGAGCGCCTCTGTTGGCCCGAGTCGCAATACTAACAACTCCTCGCCCAGGCCTGATGACAAGCAGCCGGATGATGATAGCCAGGATAACAAGCGTGCAATGAGGTGAGTTGTTCGATTCCCTTTTTTTTTTTTTTTTTGTTTTCTTTCTGTCTCTTCTCTTTCTCTATATTTCTTTCTCTTTCTCTCTCTCTCTCTCCCTGTCTCGTTCTCTCTTTGTGCGTGTGTATCTACGGAAGCGAGAGTAAATGGTTTTTGCTAACTTTTTTCCTTTTCTTTCTTCCCTTACTTTCTTTGACCTAACGTAGAGCGGAGAGAAACAGGCAAAGCGCCGCTGCCTCGAGAGAGCGCAAGAAGCGACACATCAAAGACCTCGAGGACAAGGTCAAGTATCTTGCAGAGATAAACAACGGTTTGCACTACCGTCTCGACGTACAGAAGCGCAGAGCAGACGAGAAGGAGATGTGTCTGCAACAAGAGATCTCCAGATTACGACTTCAGCTTAATCGCGAGTCGGCCTTTCGCGCCTCCCCTCCCCAAAACCATCCCATGACACTCCACCACCTCACCCACCGAGGCCCCGTCACATACTAGGTCTTTCTCTTTCTCTCTCCCTCTCCCTCTCGCACTCACCCTCTTCCTCCGTTGCCCCTCGTTCTCTATCGCATCGCCGTTGTCGGCCACTTGCAATGTATATTGCGTCTTGTTCTTTTCTTTTCATATCTTCATCACCTTGCCGAGGCTGCCAACGTCGTTTCCCTAGTTTTGCATGCCCTTCGGCCCCCCCGGTTTCGTTTTGAGAGGACAGAAATCCTCTGAGCTTCAACATCTCCCCCGTCACCCCGAATGCCTGCGAACACTCCCGTTTGTAGACACCGGGCTTGCTCTGTACATAGACCCGGCCCCACCTCGCCGCCGCCCATTATAGTAAACCCGTTGCGTGGAGACATTTTCATCTCTCTTTTTTTCCCTCTGCCCATGGCACAACAACCATATTGGGTGTTACTGCTTACCGTTCTCGCGCAAGCCACCTTGTGACCGTTTCCCGCTGTATCGTGTGCTGGTGCCCGTGTTCCTCCGCGACACGAAACGAACAACACTCCCCGATCAACCCGGAGCGCTTGTCCCGTTTGTCCATCGTGATCAGCCGCATGTCCCGCCACCAGCCTATCAAATAGGATCGCAGCAAGGATAACCACGGGTGAAAAAAGCACGACAAAAGTCAACCGACGCAACGACCAATCGTCCACTCGAGTGGAAGCTTCTGTACGGTATGTTGAGTGTCCGACAGTTCAAAAACTGTTTTGACAAAGGTGAGGGGGCTTTGTATCGGAGCATACCGTTTAGGATCATTCGCACATAGCGGCGCATCGGTTTGTGGAGGTGTCTGAACTTACGTCCACCTTCGCCGAGAAAGATTCAAATTGGGGAAGCAACCCTACAGCACACTACAGATTGATTCACGTTGGGCGCGAGTACACCGGGCGTTCTCTCGTCTTTACAAAACACATGCGAACAGTTAGGTAATCTCTAAAAGAAGCCTACCGATTTTTTCCCAGCGCTCACCCCGCCCATCTGCGACTTCCTAAGTTGCGCCATCTCAATTGCGGTGAGGGCCCAATCGCCCGCGTGGCTCTTATCCCCCAAGCTCCTCGCCTTCGCCTGCTCTTCATCCCTGCACGTGAGGACTCCAAACACGATCGGCGTGGACAGCGTGAGCTGCAAGTCCATGAGCCCGTTGGTCACAGCGCTGGCGATGTACTCGTAGTGGTCCGTCTCGCCCTTGATGAGCACGCCCAAGCACACGACGGCGTCGACCTTCTGCGACGCGCACATCAGGCGCGCGGCAATAGGCAGCTCGTACGCACCGGGCACCTGCATGAGCACGATGTCGTCCTCCTTGAGCCCGTTGTCGGAAAGCGTATCCTTGACGTCTTTGAACATAGGGCCGACAAACTCCGCGTTCCAGCGGGTGTAGATGACGCCGATGCGCAGCTTCTCGTCGACCTTGCGGTCCGGGAACGTGAGGCCCATGTCCGAACAGCGCGGGGCGACGCGGCGGCGGGCGGGCTGCGCGCGGCGCGGCGCCACACACACGGGCACGCGCAGCGGCGCGCCCAGAAAGCATGAGCGGGCGGGCGCGCGCGGGGCGGCGCTCGCTGCAATGGGCACGAGGGGGGTCACGAATGCCATCGCGGGAACGTACGCAGGGGGACGGGCAGCGGGCGGGGGATGGGGAGAAGAGCGGTGCGGTCAACGAGATGGGGCCGCAGGTTGGCCGCGAGGTCGCGCATGAGTGGCTGGTTATCGGGAGAAAATTCGCGAAAACGTCGCATTTCCCCGCAACGCACCCGCACGGCGGAACCGTACGGCTAGGGAAGGCGCTCGGGCGAGGCCGCGTCACTGTGCGCCCTTGCCGACGCCGTCGCCGCCGTCGTCGAGGTCGTCGTCGTCGTCGTCTTCGTCGCCCATCTCGTCCGCCTCGAGCATAGACGACACAAGCTCTAGCCTGTCTGCGGCGCGCGAGCTAGCGGCGGCCATGTCCTCGAACCAGTCGCCGACGTCCTGGAGCTGATCGGCGGCGGCGGCTTCAGCCATGGCGGGGAAGGTCTGCTGGGCGGCCTCGCGCTCGTGGGCGGCGGCGACGTGGAGGTTGTCGATGGTGGGTCCGAACTCTGCGTCGCCGTACTCCTCGAGGAGCTCGAGGTAGCCCATGGCCTGCTGGCGCGTGGTCTCGACGAGGGCGCGGAATGCGGCGGCGGCGTCCAGCTCGGCCTCCAGGTCTGCGCGCTGTGCAAAGTAGTCGTAGCGCACGGCGTCCAGCGCGCGCGCGGCGAGGGCGGCGTGGATGTTGTCGCGCGTGCGCAGGTCGGCGAGCTGGTTGCCGGACGCGGCCGTGACGGGCGTCGCCTGCGGCGGCTCGGGCGGCGTCGTGCACAGACGGCGGCAAGAAGGCCGCGGCGCGGGCACGCGTGACGCGACGCGGGTGAGGCGGAGCGCACGGGCAAGGGGAAGCATGGTAGTGGGATATCTGTGGCAGCTGAGGGAGACGGGTGGGCGCGGGGTGCGGATCAAGACGGGCGCGGTCGTTGGGACTGGGGGGGGTGTCTCGGGGGGGGAGTCATGGACACGTGTTGACGTGGTACACGTGTAAGGCGCGGATGGCTGAGACAGGTGAGTGCCACGTGTAGGGTTTAGACAGCTGAGAAGGAACTCTCCCTCTCCGCCCAGTTCCCCCGTTCGTCCCCATCACTGATGGGTCAGTGCGGTCGAATTGGATGATGGAGGTCCGGCAATGCGGCAAGGAGGTGAGGTTCCGTTGGCTGCGGCTCCGACGCTCAAAGCCTCGGGTCCGGTCCGGGCGTGAGGCTGAGCCTGCCGTCAGCGGGCCTGTAGCTCGGGAATAAGACGTAAAGTTACCCAATGCAATGTGAGACGGACAGCGGCACAGGTATCTCCGTTGCCGAGATTCTGTTTTCTCAATTTTTAAGCCCAATTGCCATTGCAAAGCCCCCCAACCGAATGCGCCCTGGAAACCGAGATCGAGCTACACCCCTCCCTCCACACTGGCTGTAAATGCATTTCTAGCATGGAGGATGCACGAACGCTCTGATTCTATAAGTACCTTTGCCAGTTTCAAATCTATCGACAGCTACCGTAACGGCCTGAAAAAGGTTCAGGCAACTGCTGATTTTATTTTTGATGTCGCACAAGAACTTCTAAGTTATGCAGACACATTAAATGTTGTACCTACTGAGGATTCCGTTCCGGAGGAATTAGATGCTGAAAGTGACGAAGCTAAAAGAATTATTATGATGGCTGTGACACGGAAAAGGAATCGTATTACCTTCTTCAATTCTACAGATGGCAAACTACTTCGTCTTCACATAAGAGGTCATTCACCGAGACAAGGACGCTTTATTAAGCGCTGTACGCTCTGTGGACAGCAAACCACAGCTTGGCGTGGTCACCGTACATCGTTTCAATGTTCTCTTTGCTCCGTACCCCTATGTGTGCGGGTCTATCCTGGACTGCGCAAAAGTTGTTATGA